GTGCTGAACCAATGTTGTGATCAGATGGTTTCCATTTATTAATCCAAGATGAAGATTTCTTTCCACATAAGGGAAGCTGAAATTTTTAATAACAAGAAACTAGTGGAGCCAACTAAAGTTGAATGACATGTTGTTGTTTGAGATCTGATTAGATATGGAGACATGAAAGGAATTATGATATATCCTCCTTATAATGTGTTGTAAGAGTCAACTCTAAACAGATGCTCATCTCCTAATTAATCCCTGCTGAGTCAGGTATATCTACATCTAAATTCTTCAAAGATTATAGATTCTCTCTTCAAAGATGATAGATTTATTGGATTTCTACACAAGTCCAAGCAAAGAAAGTTGGTTTTATCCAAGACAAAATGGGGCATCAAAGTCATAGTTCTGACTACGACAAGAGTTCCATAAATGAAACATTTCTTCTGATACTTTCATGAAAAAAAGAAGACACGAATATACAAGTTGATCAGATGATTCTTCAGAAATGCAAGCTTGATAGCATAAGTTTCTACACTGATCTCCATAGGTAACCCTGGCAATAAATGATGAAGTGAAGGAAGACCAAGTTCACCACGTTGAAGTCACATGAAGATTGCATCATCATTTATGCATTCATAAGAACATCATTAGCATAATAGAAAATGCATTACATTGATACATTTGATTGCATTCAAACATGAGGTTTTTACAGATATTCAAAGAAGATTCATGATGAAAAATACCTTACAAACAGAAGGTAGAATTCAAAACCTCAAATACAGGAATCACACAAACACATGAAGAATAGATGGTTGCAATCCACAAAAGAAGTATTATTTTGGGGCATGTTACCCAATCAACCAAGTTATTTTGAAAAAAATGATGAGAAAAAGATTTCCAAAATTTCTCATTTAATCTTTTCTAAAAAATGAAATTGTTGAAAAGTAAGAAAATGATTTCCATAGTTTCTTACTTAGTAAACTATTTCCCACATCTGTAAGACATACAGTGCATAATGTTTTCAAAAAGCCTTCGGGAGCTTTTTGACATTTTTAAAGCCCCCGGGTCATCTGTAAGACCTACAGTGCAAGATGATAAGACCTCAGGGCCATTCATAAGACCTCTGGGCATAATGTTTTCAAACATTGCCAGGTAGAGTTCATAATGAGAAGAACTCATATGAAGAAGGAAGAAGAAGTTCATAATGAGAAGAACTTGTTCAACCTTTTGCTCGAATTAATCACTCGGTGGATCAGTAGTGCCAGGTAGAGTTCATAATGAGAAGAACTTATCTGAAGAAGGAAGAAGAAGTTCATAATAAGAAGAATTTGTTCAACCTTTCGCTTTAATTCATCACTCAAATGGATTAGCTTTTCCAGAGAAAGTTCATAATAAGAAGAACTTATCTGAACAAAAAGAAGAAGTTCATAATGAGAAGAGCTTGTTCAACCTTTGTATGATTCTATCACAGAAGGAGATATATCAACATCAATATTTCCAGAAGTATTCATAATGAGAATAACTCATCTGAAGAAGGAGAAGAAGTTCATAATGAGAAGAACTTGTTCAACCTTAATTTAATTCATCACATATGAAGCTGAATTAACAATACCTCTTTTGAAGATCAACATTTCCAGAAGGAGTTCATAATGAGAAGAACTCATCTGAAGAAGAAGAAGAAGTTCATAATGAGAAGAATTTGTTCAACTTTTTGCTAGATTACATCATAAAAGGAGATAAATTGTCATCATAGTGGAAAAGTTCATAATGAGAAGAATTAATCCCAAAGAAAAAGAACTTGTTCAATATTTCCATCATAATCAAGTGAAGTCAAATGAAAAAAAAACTTATTGTCTTTTCGTCTTTGCCCTATTCTCGTTAACACAAGAATGAACAAAGAGGGGCTGATGAAGACGCTAGTTTTTTATTTCATTTGTTTTATTTATTATTATTATTTTGTTTTAATATTATTATATTATATTATTATTATTAAATAATTAATTAATTTTAATACATTGCAGGCCCAAAACCATAGGCCTGATTACAAACCAGACTGGCCCAAACAGAACAATAAACTCTAAACCCGGTTAGGGTATCATCTCATCTTCTCCCAGCCGCCATCAATTCACAGCCGTTGGATCTGGCTATGATCCAACCGTCCTGATGCTTCCAGAAAAAGTCCTAGGGTTATGATACCCTAGGGCAACCATACGGTGCCATCTCTACCAGGTGTCTCATCCCGCCGTTACCGACGCTCCACTGTTACCACGACGCCTCTGAAGAACACTCCAGTAACTCTACTGCCAAGACTCCAACCATCCATGTTCTTGCCTATGGTGAGTCACCACCATAGCCATGGTGACTCACCGAAAGTTATCCATCAGACCGGTCCGAGAACCACACCGTCGATGGCTATAAAAGCCATCGACCACCTGCAAAGAAAAGGAAGGGGGAGAGAGCCACGACAGAGATACAAAGAGAGAGAAGAGACCAAAGACAGAAGCAAAACCAACAACAATCAACAGCAGCAAACAAAAGGAAGAAAAGAGATTGAGAAGACTTACCCTCATCGGAGCCTCCATACACCACCGTAGAACCGAACGTTCAAAGGTAAAAAAAATTAGATCTACGTCGATCTAAAGAGATTTAGGGAAAAAGGAGACCGAAACCGTCCTTAGGGTATTCAGATCTCTCTTTTGGAGGGGTTTTATAATTTTTCGGCCGCCGTCGACGGTGGCCGACAGCATATCATGGCTGTCGGCCGATGGCTGACTCTCTCTCCGGGGAGAGAGTCTAGAGAGAATATAGAGAGTTTTCTCTCTTAGAGAGAAAATTAAAGAGAAGAAATGAGGGTTAGACCCGTTTTTAGGCCGGTTAAAGGGTTTATAAATCTCTCCCCGAACGACGTCGTTTTGGGGAGGGATACATATGTAATTTCAAAAAATGGAAAAACCCTTTCCGCAATACCTGTCATTCTGTAAGTTTGCAATTTAGTCACTGAAAGCAATTTTTTATCATTTTAATTTAGTCTCGTAATTTTATTTTATATTATTTTAGTCCTTATCTGTATAAATATAATTAGGGTAAATATCTAATTTAGTCCCTTACAGTTTAGTAATGATTATTTTAACCCGAATTAATTAAATAAGGCTAAATTATATTATTAGTACTCAAACCTTTTATTATTCGAGTTAGAGCCTTTAATTTTAATAATTATTATTCTAATCACTGATTAATAAAGGGATAATTACACTATTATTAATTATTTATAATATTTCGAGTTATGTTCATTAATTTAGATAATTTATATTTAATACTATAAGTTTTTAAATTCATTTTATTTTGGTCATTTTATTGTAATTTTATATATATATATTTATCATTTCTTTTTTAATATGTTTAAATTAATAATTTATTTAATTATTTATGTATTAATTATTTATGTTTTTATTCACTAATATTTACATGAAATACAATATTATAATTTGATTAGATAACAATATTTATTTATTTTTAAATATTAAGAAAGGGCAGCCTTAAAGCAACTGAATATCCATTTTCTGATATTTTTAAATAAATAAATATCTTACTTTTATAAATTTTATATATATATTAATCTATTTTTTTTAGATAAATGTTTTATTAATATTTATTTATTGTTTAATATTAAGAAAAGAGTTGTCTTAAAGCACCTAGAAGCCATTTTCTGATATTTCTAAATAAATAAATATCTTATTTATATATTAATAGATTTTTTAATTATAGTAATAAATGTAAAATAACAAGATTATAAATTAAATATATATATTCGAAATTTTTAAATTTCTAATAATAGAGATAATTTATAATTAATAAGTACCAATTTTGGGCGTTGTGGGAGTGCTAATCCTTCCCCAAACGTAATCGATCACGAATCCCTTTTTATTATTAAAAAGAACAAATTTTTGACGCATATCAGTTTATCTTTTAACTGATGTTTTCTTAAAAATTCTTTTAAAATAAAATTTTTAGGTATTCGACCTACCTTACCCAAAAGGCCAATGGCTACTCCTTAAACATTTAAAAAAAACCATTTATTCACATCACTTTTCCCACCAAGTAAACATTTCATACCCGGGCGAAAACTGGTTACGACAATTATAAATTATATTTTTTTAGAGTAGATACAATAATATTTTAGTTTAAAACTCACTATAATATAACGTTGTCGATTGTAATTAAAATTATTACCAATTATGTAACTTTTTAGAGTAAACATGATAATATTTTATACTAAAACTCATTACAGATTAACCTTAGTTTTTTCCGCCGCATAACAAAATTACTGCTAAAATGATTACAAGGTAAATTATATGTTTAGCACCCTAATTATCATTTTTTGTTTCATTTTGAATACCCAACTATTATTTTTTTTTAAATCATACTTAGGGACAGACGGAAAATTTCATATTAGGGGGAAAACTTACACAATTTTAAGTTGGTGAGGACTTATAAAATTTTAGGGGTGCAAATATATTTTTAATAGAAAATACAAAGAAAATATCTAAAATATATGGAAATTTAAAATTGTTGAGGGCCTTTAGGTCCATCCGTGATCATACTAAATGGTCTCATGTTGGTTACATGTCGTCAAAAAGCAATATAATTGTTGAAGAGACATTTTTTATAAAAAAATTCAATGATGACCTGACATTATTTATACTGACACATCAACATTACAATTAATTTTTTAATAATGAGTGACCAAAATGAATCCAAAATGTAACATTAAATATGGTTTTGAAATAAAAAATAGTTGAATGATTAAAACAAAATAAAAGTGATAGTTGAAATACTATGCATTAGTTTACCCATACTTATGCCAATAAAGTTAAAAAGCTAACCGCGTGTCATCCGTAGCTATTTAACGGCACCGCCACATCGAAAAGCCGTCAAATAACGGCGTCAAATACAAGAGGGAAATCAATTGTTCAAAACCACTAAAAAATTTCAGTCTCTCCACTTAAACGCAACTTCTCGGCTTCTTTTTCTTGCTCTACTCTCTCTCCCTTTTCTCGATTTGCCCTGACGCTTCAATCTGTTGTAAAACCTAAATCTTTTCTCAATACCCAACGTTAATTTCCGGTTAGGGCGAATCCATATTGTTTTCTTCACTGGGGTAAGGCGTTGATTTGAATCTGATTTTTATATGAATCTACTTGAAGTTGTCACCATTGTATTTTGATCATGAATAGGAAATTGTGCATATTCTGTTCGTTGAGCTGGTTTTGTTGTTGTTGTTGTTTTGTTATTTCAGGTAAAGAAGTCGAGGTTGTTGTTCGAGAGGATTTCCTTTTATGGCGAAGGTAGCCGCGCGTGGCGCATCAGCTACTGCTTCACTACAAATCGGTGGGGACGCTCTCAAAGTTGGTCCAACAGTTAAAAGGAAGACCCCTTCGGAGCTCAGAGTACTAGTTTTCTTTTCTGCACCTCTAACTTGTACTACCAGTCTACCACTGTTGTGGATCGACTATTTTGGTTTTGATTGTTTGTTAGGAAGATGATTGAGGCAATTGTAAATGTTTAGGGGAAAGGATATTTTGATAATGCTATGGTGCTATTATTATAAGCGATAAAATTATTATTAGTCTCTTCTCTCTAGCATTTAGGGTTTTTTTTAGTCTTCCTTAATTTTTCCAAATTGAAGCTCTAAGTGTGATATTTAATCTTTTCATCCTTCTCTGAGCCTTCTTTTTAGCTAAGACTCTACATTAGTTATTATATATTTTGGTCTAATGCTCTAACATGTTTATGTTATTTACTTTATTACTTGGAGGATTCTAATTGGATTAGTTTAGTTAATCTTTACTAGGAATTGTTGTTTAGTCTTATGCTTAATAAGAAATGTTCAATAACAGGGGGAGCAGCTTAAGCAGACCAATGTGTCTGAGCTTCTTAATAAATCTTTGGCCACAAGGTATGTGCTGTTAATTCTCTTCTGTTTACAATTTTTTTAACTACGTTGCAAGTTTCTGAGAACTTTGTTCTTCTCCATTTGCTTGGTTAGTGAGATGGTTAATTCATTCAAAAAGTCAGATCCACCAAGGAATCCTAGATATATTGACACCCGTATGGTTGAAGTATTTCCTGCCAAGAAATCAAGGTTCAAACTGGTTTCAGGAAAAGAGAATGCCAAGGTTATTACATTTTCAGAAAATACTTTAATGGAATCATCTGGATGCACCTAAAGTTTTTATTCTCATAAGTTGATCACTGGTTCATTGATATTTTCATTTGTGTTATCATTTATCAGGAAAATAGTTCAATTGAGCTACCTATTAGCCTAAAGAAGATCTCTGCTCTTTCAAATTCGGCTGCTGTGAGAAGGCAACAATTTTCATGGTATGTCTGTTAATCCTAATATCCCATACTTGGCTCATGATAAGTATATTTTTTTCTTTGATTTTATTTTTATATGTTGTTTCTTTCAGTTCAAAGAATTCTGTTTCTTCTGCTTATGTTCCAAAAGATGATGTGCCCATTGGCCATAAAACACTTGAAAAATGTAGTCAGGGTACATTTCTTAGTGTTACTGAGCTTTCATCAGGGGATCAAAAGTTATCAGGCTTGGCAACTGTTGACATGGTATGTGCTTTTGAAGCTTCAAGCTTTTATTGCATAAATTATTTTCTCTCCTAAATATGCCACTGATTTTTTATAGGATAAAGCCTTGAAAGGGCTAGCTGCTTGTGAATCAATCCTGACTAGACCTCCCAAGTCTTCTGAAGGTGATCTTTCAACTGGAAACTTCTGCACTGAATTCCATGTGACTGGCCAGAAGATTCCTCTGGATTTTACTTTGAAAACTTACATGCGATTGGTGTCCTCATCCTCAGTGAATTGGTGAGTAAACCTGTTGTTTTTCTTCATTTATTTTGTTCTATTTTCTCTACTTGGAGACAAGGGCGCTCTTGTGATATGTTCCTATATATTTTGTATGTGTTATTTAACCATGTTAAAATGACTTCCTTGCTCACTTTTAAGTGCCTGCTTATTTAGCTTGTTTATGTAACTTCGTCCTGTTTTTGTAATTCCAGGTTAAATAGGTCAATGATGTGTGCTACTTACAATGGTATGCCTCAATTTACCACCAATGCTGGTGCTTCAGATGATCAGAATATTATCAGTGCTTCACAGACCAGACTGAGTTCTCAAGTTTGAATTCTAAAGCATTACATTCATGGATTTATCCTCAATCTACCTTACCACCATCTCTCATGTCAATATTGATATCAGCAGCAGTAGACGGAGGTTTGTTTATGGAACTTTTGATTTCAATTCCCTCCTTATTTGTGCACCAACAAACACACATGTCCCGAGTGTTCCTTCCCCAGCTTTCTCTTCCTATCAGAAGTTATCTAATTGATGTTTTTCCTTGTTCTCCAGTGGAAATAGATTTCTTAAGAAAGCGAATAGGAGCATGGGAGGAGTCATTTCGGAGTCTTTACTATATGTTTCGGCAAAATGTTTGTAGCATCTTTTATGGTACATGTTTTTTCATGGTTGACTTTTTCTTTGACACCTTTGCAACCACGTGCCAATCTTCTTGGCATGAGAACATCAAATTTTATTTCATGCACATACACATCTCCATAACTGCATGCCCAGTAGTGCTTGCATTTATCTTGTTGAGTTGTATTTTGCTTGTGTAACATTGTTGGTAAATACCATGCGAATCTCATGCATGTGCATACTTGGGGGGATGATGTTTTCTATGGGTTGCTGAATTTTATTTATTTACTTTTCTAAGAGAATACATACACATCCTCTCAATGTGCCAAGACCATAAATCGTCCTTGGTTTCAACCTTTATTTCAAGTTGTTTCTTCTTTTGACGACTGAATTCTGCTTTATGTTTTATTTTAGAGTGCTTTGCTCATTTGCATCAATTTGTTTGAAAGCACAACTATCCTGATAATGATCTGTTGGAAACTTTGTAGTGTGCACTTCACATTTTGTGGTAATGTTCACTTCTTTTGATGGTCCGGAAAGTAGATCATACCAAGCTTATATCTCCCAGTCAACTAGAGGTTTGAGGTCGTCACTAAAAGAACATGTAAGATGCCATTCTTTACTAGTTAAGACATTGCATAGATTTTGTTATCTTGATCACTGTTAAGTGGTGTTATCCTGCATTTATTAAGCATTGGGTTTCTTGTGGTTTATTTTATGTTAGGCCCCTCCACCTGTTACCACTTAGTTATAGGTTGGATGCTTAACATGGTGTTATCCTACATTTAGTAATTCTTGGATTTCTTTGGTCTTATATTCAAGTTGGACCTCTTGACATGCTATTGATTGGCTTTATGTTGGATACTTAACAATTACAATACAATCATGAGGAAAACTGTATTCAATGAAAACTATTTCGAAAATGGTTTCTTAGAGATTTTTTCTGTACAGTTACCATGTTCATGTGATACTTGCTGCCATATGATATTAACTAAATGGTTGGCAAGGGTTTTCTTATATATAACTTGTTAGCATTTCCTTTATGAAAGTGATTATTCTAGTCTATAAATGCTTCATCCTAATGATACTCTAAACCAATTCACTTACCAAGTGAGTTTTGGTTCTGAGGTAGAGAACCTTTATGTTGCTTGGCTTACTGGTTTCATTCAGCTTTATAGATAAATTGGCAGACTGATTGAAAGCTATAACATTACATTAAAGCAAGTTTTGCTAATGTCAACACTGTAAAGAAGCTATTGCTGATTTCTGACTTTACAAACATGTTTGCAGCTCTGGTTGTGCGGTTGCTAGTTCAGTTTATTGCATGCTTTAGTAAAACACACAGACAACAAGTATCTAGTTTTAGTATCTCCAAAGACTGAAACTGATATAGGCTGTTGCCAACCAATGTCGTGACTGATAAATGAGGAATCAGATACTGCCTCTGTCATCTATTTAGTAATTTTTCAGGAAGTTATAAATGTTGCAACAATCAGCACATCAAATATATATATGGACTCCTTTGCTGGTCATTTAATATAAGCCATTTTGACTTACTTTTATGCTTTATTGATAACTTATGTTGTGTTTCGTAGGATGTTTCTTTTTATATGCCTCTTTGCCGTTCTCAAGTAGAACAAGTGACTACTGAAGATCTCGTGGAGCTTTCAGAAATAGAGAAGCATAATTTGGGCCAGGTTTGTACGTTTTTTTGTAATGATAGTTTTCTTGATTTGGGTTGACTGAATTTATGCCTCTAGTTGGACCATGAGATACCTTTTGAATGTTTTGATCTGCCTTTGCCTTTTTTCTCGTGTCTGCTTCGAATTTTGTTTTAGTTCGCCTTTTGAGGCCCACATGCCTTTGAGTTGTTATCCCTTTTCAAGTTTAAATCAGTATTATTCAAACTTGTGATAAAATTAAAACATAAATTTATAAATATTTCCAGGTGCCACTGAACAATTTTAGAGGCTCATAACCTAGAGATAGAGGTCCCATGCTTTGCTTAGTGATTGCATACGTAAAGAGGATTGTAAACAGAAAGAATACTTATGTGTAACCACTAGAATGTCCACTTTTCTCAATTTATGGTATTTTCACGTTCTTGTGCTCAATTCTTCATTGCACAATTTCTGCAGACTCGACGCATAAATTCCTTCTCTGATGTTGATAACACTCCACAGTCTTTGCTGGCTTTCAGCGGAAATCAGAATGTACATGGTTTGTATGAGATTTTGTTAAATTATAGGTGAGTTCCTTCTGTTTATAAATTTAAAAGACAATTTCTTCAGTAAATTTAGTTATATGGTTTTAGGATTTCATTTGAGATGGTTGTAGTAGATGGTACTTACCTATTATATGCAATGTCTCTTGCCTGACTTATTTTCCTTCTGTCATTAGATCTTTCTTGACCTTTTTGAATGCTGTGGATGTTCCTGTATTATATTCTCCTGCACCATTTCAACATGCTGCTATTTCTGCTCCAGAGGTCAGTGGCGTTTCTAGAAACAAGATCTGTTTCTATCTAGCTTCCTTCACCGTACATTCTAATTGCTGCTAGGTTCTGTTTGACGTAACATCAATATTTTTGTTACAAGGATTGGCAGATTAGACTTGATCAGATTATCTTTCCACTAGTTGCAATACCTGGTTTACATGTTTCTAACTTTCTATGTCAATTGAATTTTCAGGTTATATGCATGGAGATCAAAAGAGCTGATCATGGTACTGCTCTTCCCCAAGGATTCACCTTGAATGAAGGTCATTCGATGCCAATTTCATCTGCTGGCCTTTGTTACAGTGTTGAAATCAAAGATTCACATATTCCCCCTTGGATTATCAGTAACATATGTTCTCTAATGGCATCTAAAGGACAAAGCTTTGAAGCAAGGTATATACTATACCTTCTTTTCCTTGGATCAAATTATTGCTTTCTATCAGATTTCTTAACCTATATTATAGGGTCATTTAGGCGTATCATTAATGGATCCTCATGTGTGAAGTTAATCTATAATTAAACTCGTTGAACGATTTAAAATTTTGTCCTTAAATTTCCTAATGCAATGCCGTTATCAGAATGGTTAAGATATTTAAAGACACAAATGATACTGTAATATCTTGTCAAATCTCTCTTTTTTGGAATCATCAGTCATGATGACTGCTGAATTCCTAAATTTGAATGTAAAAAGCATAAACATAATACACACACTCACACGAGGTAAGATCTAATTGCATTATATAAAACTCTTTAGTTTTACACTGATTTAGGATCATTGATGAATGTAAATCAATGACTGAGATACACGGGTAAAAATGAGGAGATTTTAAAGGGTAAAAATGAGGAGATTTTAAAGGGTAAAACTGAGGTGGATAATGTAAATACACAGTTTTAATTTTTAGCCATTGATTTACATTTATTCAATGATTCTAAATCATTGTAAAACTAATGAGTTTTATTGTGTAAGTGGATCATAGCTTCATTTGTAGGGCAAGATGCAAAACGAAAACTGATCCGATTACCTACCTATTTGTCTGATTTTGTGATTGGTTTTTTAGTTTTACAACGGAGCATACTTCAGTTGGCTTAAATATTGCTCTCGGGCCGGTTTCCCAGATAGCTGATAGTGATGCCACTGTCAGTGAGGACTCACAAGAAATAACCAATGAATTTGGTATTCCTGAAACGATTATTTCCCCTTACTTACATTCAGGTCTACTGAAGGGCTTGAACTATTGCAACGGATCTTATACAGCGTCTCTCTCACCCGTATGACATTTCATTACTCGTAATCTCGAGTAAACTATATTTTGTTGTCGATGCTTCGTGTACCTTGGTTCCCTGGTCTGGTTTTGCTGATTACAATAGTGAAGTAACAGTTATTGGAGATAAGAAGAAATAGCCTGGACTCCAGGAACTTTGCTTTCGGGTTTATTGAAGGGCCTGAACTACCGGAACAGGTAGAGTTCATATATTGCGACCTGCTCTATCTAACCTGTAATGACACTTAAATACGCAGGATGATATTTTGAGAAAACTACATTTTGTTACTGATGCTTCAGTTCCTTAATTGTATTTTGCAGTTTGTATATTGTGATTCGGATTGACATAATTTATGAATTTGTTTGCCAAGTCATTGCTGTTAAGAGAGGAGAGATGGGTGGGACTACTTTTTTTTTTTTTTTTTGGATAAATTGGGTGGGACTACTTGTCCCAGCTTGAATGGCTCGGGAATATGTTTGTTTAATGGCAATAACTAAACAATATACTTTAATTTTTTTTAGAGGAGTCGATTTTAACTTATGTGCGTTGTGTGTTAAGCATATTATGGTATTGTTTTATTAAAATTGTTTCTTATTTACTTTTGATTTAATACTAAAATAAGTGTCTAAATTATATCGTTTTTTAATGTGTCTAAAGTATTTTTTTGATTCATCCAAGTGTTTAATGTTATAAATGTTATTATTTAAGTGTTTGTATAGTCAATAGTGTTAATTTTTTTTCGTTAAGTGAGACGTGTCATAATTTGATAATTTTGATTTTTTTAAAATATTAAAATATTATATATATATATATATATATAAAATCCCTTAATTTCTATTTAATTATAAAAAACTCTAAAATCCCTAAAATATTCAAATTCTAACCTTAATTTGTTATTGCCTCTCTTTTTAGTTATGACCATTGTTGTCTAAGTAGTTTTTGTCATTCTCTTAGTCATAGTTGTTGTAGTTGATGTCGATTGGTTGTTGGAGTCGTGTGAGATTGCGATTTTCATCTTAGGGTTTGTGAGGTATAAGCAATCGATTTGTCATTAATCGATCATGATTTCATAAGGTTTTGGTTGTCCAAGGGGGTGAGGTTGGGTGGAACTTTGTCGATGGCAAAATGTGATGGTCAAGTGGGTTTAAGGGTTGAAATAAATGTTTTGAAGTTTTGGGGTTATTTCAATTTTTTTTGTTTTCCTTTAAAAAATATAAAATATAAAATTTTAATATTAAATAAAAATTTTAAATTATCAGATTATGATATGTTACTTAACTAGAGAAATTAACACTGTTGACGGCTCAATCACCTAAATTGATAATGTTTGTAATGTTAGGTATCAAGATGAGTCAAAAAATACTCTAAGTACCAATTCGAGAAAAGTGATATAGTTTGGGCATTTATTTTGATATTAAGCCTTAATTTTTTGTCATTTTTTTAGTTTTAATTTCTTATTATTTAAAATTTATTAGTAACAAAATTATGAAATTACATTTTAAAAATATTCAATTAATTATTTTTAAATATATATTTTATAAAAATTAATTATTTAAAATAACTGTAATTAGAGTATCAAAAACTGACTATCGAATAGTCAATAAAAAATTAATTTTGATAAGATAGAAAAAGCACAGACTATTATAGAATATAAATAAATAAATAAATAATATAATAGTATTAATAATATATAATAAATAATTATAATACTAAAACCGTTTCAAATTTGAAAACATATTACAATAAATTAAAAAATGTCTTTTTTCTGTAAAAACAATTAAGTTAATTATGCGGAGTTTAATTAAAAATAAAAGTTAAATCAAAAAGATAAAATATGAACGTCCGAACTATTAAAGTAAACATATTTTAAGGTCAGTTTGACATCAAAAAAGTTTTTTTTTAAATGCTATCGGAATACGAGTTAGAAAAGTTGAAATTAAGATTTTAGTATTTGATATTTGAGTAAAAATTAATTTTGGAATATTTAATTTAGAAATGATATTATATAAAAAAGGTTTTAATATATAAAATGTGTCCAACGTATGTCCGTTTTTACAGTTTAGCGTTTAATATTTTTTTGTTTTAGTTTGGTATCTAACGTTTTATTTCGTTACTTAAAATGGGTCACGTCGTAACGGAGTGTTAGTTTTCTCCGTTAAGTGATACGCGTTACAATCTGATAATTTTAAAAATTTATTTTTAAAAATAAATATTAAAAATATTATTATATTTATATAAAACCCCTTATTTCTTTTAAATTATAAAAAAACCCAAATCCTAACACCGAAGTTTACCCACGAAGGCGGACGGCGAGAACGACGACTACGACGTGACCCACCAGTTGGTTTTTGAGCAAACAGCGATGAGGAAACTAAATATGGTGACGGTGAGACGATCGGAGGTTCGAGGCAGCCGAAATCGTCCAAAATCTGAGGTGTCGGGTGAGTTTTCGACGAAACTTCAAGGGTTCAATTCCTGTGAACGGCGAACAGTGACGGCTATCCACAAATTGTTCTGGAGTTTTGAGATGACGGCGACGAGGAAACTAACTATGGTTGCAGTGAGGCAAACAGAGATTCGAGACTGCTGAAATCGTCCAAAATCCGAGGCGTCGGGTGGTTTTTTCTTCATGCAAAATTCCAGCGAACGGAGAATCGAACACCGATTCGCGCTTCTTTATTAACGGCCTGTGTCATTCCATTTTGCATGAAGATCAAAATAAATTCATAAAATGAGAATTAATCTGGCTAAAATATAATGATATATAAGCAGTAAAACGAAAATTGCCTGCCAGTGTTTGATCTAAGCACTGTTCTAATTGTGTTATTTTTGTAAAACTGTGATAAAAGGAATCCCAATACTTGAGAGCTAAAGACACTGCAATAATTAACAAAGGGCTGGAAACTTTGATAAATAATCAATGGGTTTTATGCTTGCATCATTTTGGGAGATTTGCAGGGTATGGGATGAATGCTATGCTTTTGGACTTTTGTTTAACTTCTGTTTTACTTCATTTTTTACTTGTTAGGGGTTTTTCAGTGATGTGGATTCAACGATGCTGGCCTGCATTGCGTTTTCTTGCCCTAATTTACTGGAAGAAAGTTTCAGAGATTAACAAGACGACCTCCATTATTTACAGTATATGTACTTTATAAATAACATTCAGCAGAATCAAAAGGCAGAAAAGCATGTAGTCAAACACATGCTTGAATTTTGCATGAAGAAAAAACCCACCCGACGCCTCAGATTTTGGATATGAAGAAAGGGCTTCTTTGCTGCACTGGACATTGAAGAAAGGGCTTCGTGGATAAGCTTTGCATCTACATCAGTTAAGGCTCTTACAAAGCTTGTCCAGGCAACGGTATGACCGCTTGAAAGTCCGACGGCGGTGACTCCACCACGAACGACACTGGACATTGAAAGTCCGAATGGTTTTCTTGCAATTAAGGTCGATGGTGGCCGATTTCGGGTAATTTGAGGGTCGGGTTGAGGTCGTCGGTTGTTGCTGAGTTCAGTGAGAGTGGTGGTGTACACCACTGCCGGTCGAAGAATGGTGGTTCGGTGACGGGTTAAAGGTTAATGGGTTAAAATGAAGGTTTTCAAAATTTTGAGGTTATTTCAAAATTTTTGTGTTTGCTTTTTAAAAAAATATATAATTTTTTTAATTTTTTAAAATTACCTGATTGTGACATGTGTTACTTAACAGAGAAAACTAACTGTCTGTCACGGCATTACCCATTCTGAGTTACGAAATGTAACGTTATACACCAAATTTGAACGAAAAAAGCTTTAGGCACTGAACTGAAAAAACGGGCATACGTTATACACCTTTTGTATATTAAAGCGATAAAAATAAGTTAATTTAAGTGGTGTTCAAATTCGTTAGCGTTAACATTATGATATATGAAATAAATTAATTTAAATTATAATAAAAAAATAATGACAACTTACTATTAAATTTATTGATTAATATGAAATAAGTATGTAACACCCTCAGACCGATGTAGGTGATCCGATCCGATCCGAGGTGTTACATTAGGACTACTGGAGTGACCCACAATAAAAGTTCGGGAAAATTTATTTATTTTTTGTTAAAACGCCTAAAATCATAAAACAATTTATAAATACAAAAATATAATTTAACAATATTCAGAAATAAAACAGATTTCAGACTCGGATATAAAAATAAAATGCAACCTACATGCCCCTAATCACATGCACCGTACTCCGCAAACAATGCCAGTGAAACTCCTTTACTGATGTCGATAGCTGCACTAGTTTGATTCTTTTAACCTGAAATGGTGAGTAAAAGAGTGAGCTTTGGGAAGCTCAGTAATACAGAACTACAAAGTGATGTTGAAGGACATGCAGATAAAAGTAACATCATAAATTTTTCTTATTGACTTATTCATCTACATGTTTTTGTAATGAGCTGAGGCTCCACTGATATTTCATCGAGTAAAAGTCATGAAGATTTCAGTTCATAGGAAACATTTAGAGTACCAAGTTTTCAGGAGATAAGAAAATGATGTCTAGTGTGTTTCAAACAAAACAGTGAAGAGATACAGATCTTTTTAAAACAATAATAATTTAAAACATATTTTTTTAAAAGATAGTAATACCCTCCAACCGAACACCATTATGCAGTTCCCCAAAACTGCATCCATAAGGACTTACCCTAAGTACACAGTAGAAGAGCCACCGTAAGGGAATACCTTGGGGTCTACCCAAGGGCCACCTTAGGTCTGTAAGGATTTACCAGCTTGATTAGAGTTGAACCTCCATACTCCAGAATCTTACCCATACAATATCCATTATAAATTAGATTTAATAGTAAATTGTAATATCAGGATCATGATCAAGTAAAATCTCGTAAGGGTGACAATGAAATAAACCGCATAACTGCCCTCCACTCGTACACCATATGTAGTCCCATGATTAACCCAAGGGAGTGCCTACGCAAGAAAGTTTATCGGGGCCTCGAAGCCTACCCAAAGGTCACCTTAGGTCTGTAAGGATTTACCAGTTTGATCAGAATTGAACCTCCATAATCCAACCTACCCAGATAATGTCCCAAATAAAAAAGTTCAAGTAGTAACCAGTAGATTCCATGATCAATAATTCAGGAACGATCATATTTTCCAGTAAAAACAGGTAACCAGATAACACATTTCAGGTAACCATAGTTCATAAACCGGTAGATTCCATGATCCATAAATCAGGAATGATCATATTTTACAGTGAAAACAGGTAACTAGAGAACATATTTCAAGTAACCATAGTTCGTAGACCAGTAAATCAGTGATTTAAGAAGATCACGTTTAAAACAGATA